AGCAACCTCCTTTTTGGCCCCTTTACTTTGATGACTAAATCGGCAGGGAGTGGTCATTCAGATTCTTTATTGATCCAGTTACAGATGGCCTTGGCGGTAGGTAATGTGACCTTCGAATATAGCAAGTTCTGATTTGTTCAGCCCTGCTGTATACATGTGGGGTGGTACAAAGATTAAGCTCTATATTTAAAGTGGAGTAACATTATAGCCAATCAGAGGTCATTCCTCATTTACTTGAATACAGTAAGCTGAAATCTAGTGGCTGCTATAGTTTACCAAACTTGCACCACTATGAAGTAATCTAAGGGCTGAGGTTCACACTGGGATCGCACAGGAACATGTGCCGAATTCTCATGCGATTACAGCGTGTTCACTTGAATGGGCTGAAATCGCACCAGAAAGTTGAGAAAGTAGTGCATGCGCGTACCAAGCAATTTAATGCCCGCAAATACACAGCGATTGAGGTGCCATTAATAATGCATCAGCAACCCACAAAGGCAGTGCAATTCCAGTGTGGTGTGGGATGCTTCAGACGCGTTGCTGGTGAGAACTAGCCACTAGTGTCCCTGAGCAATATAAAGATGGTTTGAATCTTAGCCAGTTGAGCAGAGATTCGAACCATGTATGGGCAGGCTGAATGTACCCAAGCTGTTTGATCACATTGGGTACAACCAGCCTGTCCGATTTTCCATGTGATTATTGGTAGTGGCCAATGCTGCTGTTAGAAACCATGAGGCCCCATACAGCCAACCTGCCCCCCCCCCCCCCCCAACTTCCCCCCCCCAAAAAAAAAACACGATTTTACTATGGTTCAGCTATGAATGAACACAGTGAGTGATCAGAACTTCAGTACTGATCGCTCATTGTGTTCATTCTGGAAAGAAAGGGACTGGTAAATGTGACATATTTTCTGGATCCTTCTCCATCACGAAAGTCCCTATTGTGTGTTTGCTGCTGCCGGAGGGAAGAAGAGGAGGGAAACTGGCAGCACTGTGGGGGTGGGACACACAGGGGGGCCTGAGCATCAGGGAAGAAACATATGGTGCACAGGGAGAGTGATGGGTGAGGCAGAGCGATAATTACTGGAATTGATCCCCTGTATGGCCCTCTCTGCAGCAGCTGAAAGCCAGCGGGAGGGAGAGGAGAAGAAGCCAGCTTTCAGCTGCTGCAGAGAGAGCCATACAGGGGATCAGTTCCAGTAATCAGTGCCACCCCACCATGCCGATCATCCTCCCTGATTCACTCAGTTGTCTGGGCCCCCCTGCTGGGCTGGACCCTGTACAGGAGGGCTGGTGGGAAACCTTTTTCCACAGACCTGCTAGTGGCTATTATATTATGCCGCTAGCTGTAATCACTGTGTTCTCCTGGCGGGGATGGTCCTCCTGCCCCACCGCCGGGAGAACACAATGGCTCTGCAGGAGGGATTCCCCCATCAACACTAACTGTGTTGATGGGGGAATAAAGCGATTTTCTTTTCTGCAACCCGTGGTTGCAAGAAAGAAAATCGCTCAGTCTATGAGTGGCTTTAGACATCTACGGGTGTGTCAGCTCCTCAATAATTCACACCGGTGTGACTTGTCGTGCAACTTGACAGATCAAAATCACATGAGACGTCGCACCCTATTGCCAATCACTATGTTCTCCCTGTGGGGATGGTTCCCCCTGCCCCACTGCCAAGAGAATACAATGGCTCTGCAGGAGGGATTCCACCATCAACACTGACTGTGACACATAACCCACATGGAAGAAAAATATATTTGAAATATATTTTAAAAATATTCTTCCCAAATATATTGACATATATTTGAAATACTACAATTTTGGCCATATTCAATATATTTCAATAGATAGAGATAGATAGATAGATAGATAGATAGATAGATAGATAGATACCGTATTTTCTGGCGTATAAGACGACTTTTTACCCCTTGAAAATCTTCTCAAAAGTTGGGGGTCGTCTTATACGCCGGTATACGGCATACTGACACTTTTTAGGGGGGCGGCGCGGTGCCGCCGCCCCCCCCCTTTCCAACGGAAGGGACACTAAGTACAGGGGTGGGCAGGGGCTGTTTCTTACCTGGCTCCGGTCTCACGACGATCCGGTCCAGGAAGCGCGGCTGCTCCTTCAGTTCGGCCACTGGATGTTTGCGCGGCTGCTCGGCTACGCCTCCTCACCGGTGATTGGCCGCCAAAACTGTAGCTCAGGAAAGGCACACAGGCGGCCAATCACCGGCGAGGGGGCGGAGCCTAGTGGCCCCACGAAAATCGAGTGCAGGAGCAGCAGGTAAGTGTTCAGTGTAGAGGTGCTGCTGCAACCACATATGCTGGCTGCAGCAGCACCATACTAGAACAGGGTCAGCAAAGTAATTGGTGTCAGTGGGAGGAATAGTGCCCCATCATTGGTGTCACTGATACCAATGATGGAGCACTATTCCTGCCACTGACACCAATGATGGGGCACTATTCCTCCCACTGACACAAACGATGGGGCACTATTCCTCCCCCCACTGACACCAATGATGGGGCACTATTCCACCCCCCACTGACACCAATGATGGGACGCTATTCCACCCCCCACTGACACCAATGATGGGACACCATTCCTCCCACTGACACCAGTGTTGGAACACTATTCCTCCCACTGACACCAATGATGGGGCACTATTCCTGCCACTGATACCAATGATGGGGCACTATTCCTGCCACTGATACCAATGATGGGGCACTATTCCTGCCACTGATACCAATGATGGGGCACCTATTCCCCCCACTGATACTAATGATGGGGCACTATTCCTCCAACTGACACCAATGATGGGGCACTATTCCTCCCACTAACAACCAATGATGGGGAACTATTCCTCTCACTGATACTAATGATGGGGCACTATTCCTGCTACTAATGCCAATGATGGGGCACTATTCCTCCCACTGACACCGATGATGGGGCACTATTCCTCCCACTGGTGTGCATTGGAAGAGGGGTAGTCTTATACGGCGAGTATAGCCCAAACACTACATTTTAGCAGGAAAAGTAGGGGGTCGTCTTATACGCCAGCAAATACGGTAGATAGAAAGATAAATAGATAGATATAGATATATACTGTATGTTGAAATGCATTTTTATTACAAAACATATGAAAAGTATTTTTAAAAATACATTTTCAAATATACTGTATGTCTTTAAAAATACAAATCTACATTTTTGGAATGCATTTACAAATATACGTTAAAATGACTTTTTTATATGTTAAAAAAAATCTGAAGAATATATTTTTAAAAAATATATTTTTAAAAAAATATTTTTTTAAACATATTCTTCAGTCACTTTTTAACATATAAAAAGTCATTTTAACATATATTTTTACATATACTTGTAAATGCATTCCAAAAATGTAGATTTGTATTCTTAAAGACATACAGTATATTTGAAATTTATTTTTTAAAATATTTTTAATATAATTTGTAATAAAAACGCATTTCAACATATTAATAAATATATATATATATATATATATATATACAATAAATATATATATATATATATATATATATTTATTTATTTTTATTGAAATATATTTTGAAATATATTGAATGTGGCCAAAATTGTAGTATTTCAAATATATGTCAATATATTTGGGAAGAATATTTTTAAAATATATTTCAAATATATTTTTCTTCCATATGGGAAGTTGCACCCTATTGCCAGCTATAGAACCGTTCAAATTGGTGCGACTTCGATTTGCACCGACTTTGAAAAAGGTTTGTGCACTATTTCTTGCGATTTCATGTGCATTGCATTGACATCTGTGCATGAAGTTGTACTGATCAGCAGTTTTGAAACTCAAAGCCGCATTTGGTGTGAACCAGGGCTAAGGATGTGCTGACCCCTGTGTTTTAGATTCTTTAGTCTGGGACCCTTGCCAAATCGGAAAATGACTTAAGTCTAAAGTAGTAATGGAAACTTTAAAAATGTTATAATTCACTTCAATTGCTATAAGTCTACATAGAAACATAAACAAAATAGGATCTATATGCGTATACAGTTCTGTCCTTGGGAAATCTGGCACTGATACTTTCTTTTTGCAGTCGGGCCTAGCAGAAAGCCAGAGACTGACATGTCCACACAAAGACCTATCTACTCATGTCAATCCCTTCATGGTATGGGTCAGTGCAGTGGAATGCCAAGGCAAGTTTAGGAAGAAGTCGTATATAGTGTGTAGGCCTGCAGCCTGCAAGAGGAGTGCTTTCATTAACATTCTGGTTTTTATTTACCAGTTCAGCATTACAAATCCTTCCTTCATTTACTACAGCAAGAGTGCAAGAAGACATGGGATGGCGGACGATCCTGGCACCCTCATCTTCAGACTCAGTACAGGATAATTGGGATAATAATCGTGCCACAGGTGCAGCACGTTTTCAGGTGTGCCACTCTGATGGTGTGTCATTTCAGGCATTTCGAGTAGATAGGTAAGACAGAGGGCTTTGTTTACTAAAGCTGGAGAGTGCAAAATCAGGCTCATTTGTGCATAGAAACCAATCAACTTCCAGGTTTTAATGCCAAAGCTTAATTAAACAAGCTGCATTATTTTAACTGACAATTGCGCGGTCATGCAACGCTGCACCTAAATGAAATTTATGTCCTTTTTCCCCACAAATGGAGCTTTCTTATGGTGGTATATGATCGACTCTGAGTTTTTTATATTTTGCGCTATAAACAAAAAAAGACCGACGATTTTGAAAAAAAAACCCTAAATTTTTTAATTTTTGCTGTTAAACATATCCAGTAAAAACATGTAAAAACTCAAATTTCATCATTAATTTAGGGCAAAATGTATTCTGCGACATGTCTCTGCTAGAAAAAAATCCCAATACATGTAAATTAATTAGTTTACGTGAAAGTTATAGATTCTACAAATGGCGGTATATATACTGGAATTTTTTTTATTTTTATTGTTTTACTAGTAATGGCGGCAATCAGCAACTTATAGCAGGACTGTGGACTGCGGCAGGCATTCTGACACTGGTTGGAAATGACTTTGTGTCACTGACATCCCCAGTGACACCAATACAGTGATTACTGCTAATAAAAAGCACTGACACTGTACTAAAGGCACTGGGCAGGAAGTATTTAACATCTGGAGCGATCAAAGGGTTAACTGTGTGCTGTTTTACCCCCGGTTCACATCTATGCGGGCCGCGTTTTGCACGGGCAGGAGAGCCCATTTATTTGAATGGACTTCCGTGCCCGTGACACACAGGGAAAGAAGCCTCTGCACTTCTTTGGAAAACGCAGCCCGCTTGGAACCTCGGTTCCCAGTATGGTTGCGTTTTCCAGTGCGGGCGTCGTGCCATTAGAATTAATGGCACCCACCCACGGGTCTGCAATTCTCTGTGCGGGTGGTGCGGCTGCACGGATTTTTGTGCAGATCTGCAGCGGCACCACCCTTACAAATGTGAACCTAGGGTCACTATTTGCTGTGTATGTGCTTTACACTGTAAGCACACTGCTTTGTATGGCTCTGCTATGCAGAGCCATACAAAGCAGTGTGCACAAGCTGACAAGAGATAGATCTGTGTTGTTTATACACAGGTCTCTCCCCCATCGGAAATACTCGGAGATCGCTGGGTGCCAGTGGGAAATCACTGGCCGGTACCCGGTGACTGACAGCCAAGGCAGCACGCGCCCCCAACCTGGAACTGCAAAATCATGTATATATATGCGTGATTTTGGGCACCCGTGCCGCCCTGTAGTAGTATTTCTGCTATAGAGTGGCATGGAAGTGGTTAAGCGATCACATTGTTACAATAGGAGCAACGTTTCAGAGCCTTGCCAAACTCCTTCATCAGGCATGTGTGAATATGCATTTGTGCCCTGCATTAGTAGGTCGCAACCGTGTGTGCATTTCATGCAGTTGCAGGGCAGCCCCATTCAGTAGAATCAATTGCATTCAGCAGAACTGCCTGCTGAATGCCACGCGGGGGGCATGGTATATATCTAGGGTTGCCACCTCATCCCTTTAAAACCAAACATACATGAACTACACAGGTTCTGAGGCTAATCTATTGCAGATAAGGCACTAAGGGAGTTTAATTACCGCCTTTACCTCCTCGGCGGTATGATTCTTTCCGATTTTTTGTGCTGAAAGCGGTACCATTTTTTTGCATGGAAATATGTAGTTTTTAATTGTAGGCTGTAATTTTTAGGAATAACTCACTGAAATCTGTACGAACAGGAGTCTATTAAACATTTCGGATATGATAAAATTTGAAACACGAAGTCATAAATTATAATTTAATAAATAATCATAAAAAATAATAATATAATAATAAATTTAATTCAATAATATAATCAAACCAAAAACATTCAAATTTGAAATACAGAGGCAAATTCGCACATCGCTGAGCAAAGTCGCAAAATTGTTTTCCGTGTCGGATGACAAATTTCCCCACACGAATCATTATCACTCAATTCTGCAAGTGGTTCTGATTTTTACTATCGCTCTTCTAAAACCGCTTTTGACGTAAAGGGACGCTTTTTGGACACCATGGACTTTCCTAAGTTTCCAGGCAGAAAGAACTTTCAAACTGCAGGCAGGGCACAGGACAAAGCAGTAGGGACAAAATATATGTGAAATGCATTGAAACAGCAATGACAGCAAAAATGACATTTTTTAAACATTTCAAATTTCCCGCCGGTTCCGGCGCCCATACGTCCCGACGTCACAGGGACCGGAACACAGAAGCCGGATGCCGGCTTTGGCCGGAGGAGATGGCCGGGGACGCTGCAGGGGACACATCGCGGGAGCGAAGAACAAGGTAAGTGCTGCAGGGACCCCCAGAGCAACGCCGCATGGTAAGCCCGAGTGTAGCTCGGGGTTACCGCTCTTGGTATAGAAATTTAGCCCGAGCTACACTCGGGAATACCGCTAAGGAGGTTAATCAGCCCCAGAACCTGAGTAATTCATATGTGTTCGGATTTAAAGGGATGAGGTGGCAACCCTATATATATCTCAGCCAACTGTGAACAGCCTGCTAGTGGCACTCCAATGCACAGGTATAGATCCCACTGAATTTCTGGTGGCATTAATGCTCAGGCTGCACAATCACATGTGATTCTAGTGCTAGGCACAGATCTGGACAGAGATCACACAGCAGTTAATGTATCCCATTACAGAATCTCTTCTCTAATCTAGCAACTGTTAATCATTAGTGTGTGCGTATGACTGGGAGATACCATTGTTTCCAACCCTGCTGATGACTCATGAAAATAAGAAACTCTAATGTGCGGTGCTGATATTCAAAAAAGCTTATATAGTCGGCATAAATGACATGTTTTCCAAGAGCTTTGTATGGTGTGCATCAAAGAGTGTAATGTTCCATTATATTTGTGCTGAGGAAATCCACTGGATACTTGACCAATCAGGATGAGTGATTTCGGCGAAATTGATTTTGATGCTGAATTACAGATTTGAAGTAAAAACTCTCAATTTTGTTCAAATGATCTCTTTTTTTCTTTATTTGGTGGGTTTGTTGTTTTGGGGAGTTTATTTAAAGTGGTTGTAAACCTGTACATATTACCCAGTGTTGTTCCCAGCATTAGGTGATACAGGGCTGCTGTTAGAGACCGCAGGGCCCCATACAGCCAACCTGACAGGCCTCCCTCCAAAAAAAACAGTTTACTATGTTTCAGTTATGAATGAACACAGTGAGTGATTAGTACCAATGTGTGTTCATTCAGGAAAGTAATGGGCTGGTTAATGTGACATATGTACCGGACTCTTCCCCCCACTCTCCAATCTGAAGAATCCTATTCTGTACTTGCAGCTGCTGATGGGAAGGAGAGGAGGGAAGCTGGCAGCACTGTGCACAGGGGTGCCTGGGCAGCAGGGAGAAATGCATTGTGCACAGGGAGGTGATGGGTGTGGCTGGGGGGGCAATTCCTGGAACCGGTCCCCTGTATGGCTCTCTCTGCAGCAGCTGAAAGCCAGCAGGAGGGAGAAGAGAAGAAGCCAGCTTTCAACTGCTACAGAGAGAGCCATACAGGGGATAAGTTCCAGTAATTGCCCCCCCACCTTGCTGATCACCCTCCCTGCCCACATCCAATTCACCCAGATGCTTGGGCCCCCATGCTGGCCAGGGCCCCATACAGGAGGACTGGTGGTACCCCCTTATTTCTGGCACTGAGGTGATACACAGAGATGAAACAAATCCTTCTATGTAAGTTGTAGCTGTGTATGTGCAAACAGTTCTTCTGTAGATCGTTCTGAAAACACAAAGAGGAAAGGATTTCTTCTTAGATCTAGGAGCAGGGGTCTTCACAAAGTGGACAGCTCTAAGCCCTGATTGGAGGGACGGGACACCCCCTCTTCACACAGCACACAGGAACAGAGCTGAGGCTATCAATCACAGGCTGTGTACTAGTTGAAAGGAGCTTCCATAACCCTCAGAAGAAATTTAAAGCCCATTGCAAAAATCCAAAAACATACCCCAGTTTTGCAAACTTGTGTTACCCATTGATGTTGTTACATTTCTTAATCTCATTAAAGCGATTGACCAATTCTCCCCACTGATATCCAGGAACAAATCCAATCCAAACCTAGAGCTGAATGAAGGATCCTAAGCAGGGTAACACACTATTCTTCAACATCTATGTGGTTGCTCTACACAGCTGGTATATGCTTCAATGCTCCATATTATAGTTTTTAATTTTGACACAAGGTTAGCTCGGTAAACATTTACCAGTTAAAGGGAACACTGAAACAATGAAATGCATTGATCCTAAGAGGAACTGCACAGACCATATGGCGGGCACAGATGTCAATATGGTCTGTATATTAAGGCTGCAGTGATCTGTCATTATCATCAGGGCCTCTTAATTGACTGCCCTTAATGGCATCCCTATCCTGTTTTTGTATGATGTGGTTTGCAGGTGCAAAGTTCTACCGGCACAGGACAGGGCAGAAAGGCTCAGTTTTAAAAAGCAAGTTTCGAACTAGTGTCTTGCACCCAAACCCGCACAAGTGCAGCACAGTAGGAAAGACACAACATTTTCAATCAGCAACAAAAGCAATAAAAAAGTAGCTTGTAATTTTTTCATAAGAGCTCATTCACAAACCAGTGCTCAGGAAACGCACATTATGCACATTAGTGTGATGCGGAGTCATTCATTGTAGATGGCACTCCAACACAGGTTCTCAACTCCTATACATTGCTGTGTGCTGCTGAAAATGCTGCATGTCCCTTTTTGATGTGATTTGATACATTAAGCTGGCCATACACGCACTGATTTCTTTCATTCAGCCTGCATTCAGAAATCTAACAGTTTTCCCCATCCATGCTAAAAGTGCAGATGGATGAATTTCCGCTGCTGGCTGTTGTATTCTGGCAGCTGGCACCCGTGGCTGTCAGAAAATCCAAACAGTGCCTGCATCTGATTGGATGCAGTTCAACTGACAATTTTCCACTTGGCTCCTTCTACAAAATTGGATTGAACAAGCTCAGAAATTGACCAATGAACCACTTGCCAAAAGTGCTATAGCCGAATGACGGCTACAGCATGGTTGTCTAGTTATGGGATGGTGTCATATGATGTCCTCCCAGAATGCGCCCCTCCCCCGCAGTGGCACACACCCGCCGATTTCTGTGATCGCTGTGTCCTACGGACACCGTTGATCACGTGATGTGGTAAACGGCCAATCACAGCGGCCTTTTACAACATGATCAGCTGTGTCCAATGACACAGCAGATCACCGGGTAAATACAGTTGCTGGTTATCGGCTGCATTTTCCTCACGCTGTCACAGCATGAGTAAAGTACTGCCGATAACCAGCAATTGTCAGAGAACAGATCGGCACTGATCATCAGGGCACTGATGATCAGTGCCCAGCAGTGCCACCCACAACTGCCCAGCAGTGCCTACCACCAGTACCCAGCAGTGGTACCCAACTGTGCCCAGCAGTGTCACTCACCAATATCCAGCAGTGCCACCCATCAGTGTCACCCAGCAGTGCTGCCCAGCAATGCCACCAGTTAGCGCCCAGCAGTGCCTCCAGTCAGTGCCACCCATCAGTTCCACCTATCAGTGCCCATCATTGAGGCATATCAGTGCAGCATCATCAGTGCCGCCTATCAGTGCAGCATCATCAGTGCCTCTATCTATCCTATCAGTGCCCATCAGTGCTGCCTATCCGTGCCAACTCATCAGTGCCCATCAGTGCTGCCTATCAGTGCCCACCAGTGCTTCTTATCAGTGCAGCCTCATCAATGCAAATCAGTGAAGGAGAAAAATTATATGCTTGCAAAATTTTATAACAGAAACAAAGAAAACCTTTTTTTTCACATTTTTTTTATTTTTTGTTTATAGTGCAAAAAATAAAACACCCAGTGTTGATTAAATACCACCAAAAGAAAGCTCTATTTGTGTGAAAAAAAAATATAAAAATGTCACATGGGTACAATGTTGCATGACTGTGCAACTGTCATTCAAAGTGCGACAGAGCTGAAAGCTGAAAATTGGCCTGGGCACGAAGGGGGTAACAGGACCCAGTAGGCAAGTGGTTAAAGCATGAATTTGCTGAAATTCAAGTTGCATATAGTAGCTTTTAAGCAATCC